GGTATTTCCCGAGTGTGTGTGAGCAGGGGATTTGAACGCAACAGTTTGGATGGTGTGAAAGTGTTTCTCCTGTGGATCAGAAGTCAGGGCCGGACACACGGGCTCTTCTGCTCGGTGTCAGGGGTGAGTTTGCCGGGGAACTGATCCCGGTTCCCCGTGTTAACCAGCGCACACATGCGTTAATCTCTTCAAAGCCCCTCGCGCACATCTGACTTTCAAATCCGAGTGTTTGTCTTGAAAATGGGCTCTAATCCCGATCCGAGCGACCCGTGAGACCAGCAGCTTTAAAATTCATCGGCGATTAGCGGAAACAGTAACGAGGCTCTTTCTCATTCATGGCGCTTGTGTAAATAACTGTGCTGTGATTGACAGCTGAGGTCTGTGATTGACAGCTGAAGAACGGGTCAGGCCGAGCGCGCTGCTTTTCATTTTTTGATGGATTCTGGCATGCTGTTGTTGATCGATAGTTACACTAACCAGCGTTTAACATTAGTGCACTTACTGTCTGTCCGAGAGCCTCCATTAATTTCTCCTGTGGTTCTAAAACACTCATATTTTGCTTTGCCATCACAAAAAAGGGCATTTTCCCGAGCGTAAAATAAATATATAAATGGAAAGCGCAGGGTCTCGTGCTCTCCGGGATAATTGAATTGTGTTTGGGTTGGTTTGGTTTGGCTGACAGTAATCGCATCCGATGCTCGGGCCATTACAGCGAGCGCGCGCGCGTGCGTGTCTCCCGGTGACCGATCACTGCTGAATGCAGATTGAGCTAATGAGAGAGAGAGATTGATGAGAGAGAGAGAGAGGGGGATGAAGGATCGGGAAAGGATGAGACGCGACCCGTCTGTGTCACGCGCGTAAACAGTGACCCGTCTGAAACCCTCCGGGCGCGCGCGCTGGCGGACAACGGGTGGCGCGAGACATTTGCTTTAATTTAGTACGAACAAAACTTTTCATTTGTTTGTTTGAACATTAATGTAGGCTAATTTCAACAAAAAGTCTCGTTGAAATTAAAGCTGAATCAGCAAAATAGATATTACTAGATTTAAATAACGCGGAATCTGTCACTTCTGCTTTTATTTTTCATTACACACGCACGATGTAAAATACCAAATTAACAGTGAGTTGAATCAGACAATACTTCATTTAATTTTATATTGTTTTATTTCGTTAATGTTTCCTTGGCATCGATGGTTCCCATGGCCATTTATTTACTTTTTAACATCCATAAAATATTTCCACTGCACAAAATATTATTTTGATTACAATCTCCTAGGGGGGGAAATGGTTTTGGGAACCCACTGCATTATAAAAAAAAACTATTTGAACCTTTATTTTAAAGAGTGTAATATTAAATACATTAGTAGCCTATTCCTTCGTTAAGTTGTATATTAAAAATGTCTCAGAATTACATAATTCATTGCTATTGAGTAGCTATTAAACAATGAAATCTGTAACAAGATGTAAAACGCGTTCTGAATCTCGCACACACACACACACACACACACACACAGGTGTTCTCGGCGCTCTCCTCAGGTGTGTACGGAGATGATGAACACGTGCTGAAAGGTTCCGGTGTCCGTGAAGACTTGTTGCTGTCGTGTGTATCTCGTCACTTTCCGGTACAGTCGTTAATCTGCGCGCGGGATGCGGACGCTGATGGATGAAGTTTGAGACGCGCGTCAGCCGAAATCATCCAAACGCGCCGTGAGGCGCACGCCCGGGGCCGCGCCGGGATAACCAGGTTACGCGCGCATAGAGAGGGTTACAGGGTCAAAAGTCAAACGAAAACCCGAAACGAATCAATGACACATATGGTTAAAAATGACACATTCAGCTGCATGGAAATACATTTTGTCCCTGATTTGATAAAGGTATAAATGCGATTATTATTGCATAATTTGAAACGTGATTTAAATATGACCATTTCATGTAGGCCTATAATGCGCTATAACAGCACGGATAATATCCATGTCTAATTAATATTGTTTAAAGAGTTCGGATAAACTCGCGCGTAATAGTGAGTGACAGCAAACAGATGCGCGTGACTGTGAGCAGCAGGTTTCCGTCGAGTCATATCTGATGAAAACAGATCGAATAAACGCGTGCAATTAACGACTTCAAGTCATCAGTAATTAGCATTTCATCGTTTATTTTAATTTTACGATCATTTTATTTCATTCGGCCTCTAAATGCAGCGTTGGGGGGAGGGGGTTAAATAAAGGCCATTATTTCCGAAATCTAATTAAACTTCATCTCACACTACCAACCAGAGCCGCATTAAAGCTAAAACAATCCCACAATTCATTTAGCATGAGGAAAACGGACCCATTTGCCCGCTCTTGAAAAGTTGCCCATCCTCGCCTTAATGCCATTAGTCTTAATAGCCATTAATAGTCATTTATTTAGAGTTATATTTGCGCGCGCGCGCGGGTGATGCGCGCTTCAGGTCTCGTTTAAACCAGAAATAAAATGCAACAAAGGAGCATTAGATGAAATAGTGAAGCACAAGTGTAGCAGATGATGCTGGAAAGGGTTAAGGCGGAGGTGCATTAGAGATGCACGGAGAGTGTGTGTGTGTGTGTGTGTGTGTGTGTGTGTGTGTGTGTGTTGAGGGAGGAGGATCTCAGAACTGAGACATTGTCATGCAAACACAGACCACCGCCTCGCCATTGTCTCCCGGACTCCAACTTTATTATAAACACACCGAGCAGCAGAGCCGCGGAACACACCGAGACACACACACACTCCTCGAGCGGACCTTCACACACACCTGCGTCTCCATCATTCCGCCCTCCACATGTACAAAATGGATTACTCGTATCTGAACACGTACGACTCGTGCATGGCGGCGATGGAGGCGTCGGCGTACGCGGACTTTAACTCGTGCAGTCAGAGCAACGCGTTCCAGTACAACCCGATCCGGAACGGGTTCAGTTCCAGCCCGGGCTGCGGAACGCTCGGGTCCGCCAGCTGTGCACTGGGTGCGCTGAGAGAACACCAGCCCGCGCCCTACTCCACAGGTGACACACACACACACACACACACACACACACATGCATGTGCGAGAACTAAAACACTTCATATGCAATGCAACTTGAAAATAAAGCAGGTGTGGAATGTATATTCGTCAGCAGTAATCACGCTAAACTATCCATTTGTCTTTGTTTAACATATAGCCTAGAACTCGTTCTGAATGTAGCGATTATACGTCATGACTCACTGTTTAAAAACGTTCCAAAAGGTTTCTTTTGTTTTTTATGACGTAGAATTCTAATGACGTTATTTGGAACTTTCAGCGATCAGTTCCTAAAATAACCGTTTTTTTTAATTAGTGTGAACATTTTTATAAAGAATCGTTTGTGCATTCCATCGATTCTTCGATGCCGATAAAGAACCGTTATTTTGTATATTTGATACAAATGAATCTTTAATTCGGATAATTGATATACCCAGTTGCAAAAATCAAACGATAATCCTATAGCTTTGCGAGTTTGCGTTTAAGGCTAATTTAATTCAATTAGCCTAAAACTCGTGTCATATAATCTGAGGCGCAAATCAATTTAAAGTAATTAATTGAATTATGTCTTACGGATCTATAATTAAAAAGAGCGTTTATTGGACAGAAGAAATAAATGAGAAACGATCCTGTCTCGCCTGATATTTCTGTGCGGTAAATGTAAATCATTGGCTTGTGTAATTATTATTGCATTTTCACATCAGAAAATGTGTGACTTATAGGGAGTCTGTCGTTGTAAAACAAAATGCATAATTTAATTATAATCATAATAAAACAAATGCACGGACGCATTCCTCAAATATATTTTATGGCACTTATTTATACCCAATGAAACGCAGAAACCATTAATTTTTCTTATTTAAAAAAATAATATTAGACATAAATGTGCAATATTTACAGAATCCACTTGTTTCTCTGCACTGCTGTTAAACGCGTCATCATGACTCTCCCGGTGTCGTTGATCTTTCAGTCCCGTACAAGTTCTTCTCGGACCCGTCCGGTCTGAACGAGAAGCGCAAGCAGCGGCGGATCCGCACGACCTTCACGAGCTCGCAGCTGAAGGAGCTCGAGCGCGTGTTCGCGGAGACGCACTACCCGGACATTTACACGCGCGAGGAGCTCGCGCTGAAGATCGACCTGACCGAGGCGCGCGTGCAGGTGAGGCGCATGCACGCGGAGTATATTCAGAAGTCATCACTGAGTGCAAAATCATCTAAAAATATAAGACCATAAATTGTCATCTATATTGGATATTCTGGGCCTCTTCCAGATGTAATTAATTTAGATGTATCGCGGCTGCATTGGTCACGTGTATATGCATGCGTTAATAACACTTCACAATGAAAAATATTGGTAAGGCTTTATTTTACACTGTCCTTGTGCATGTATTAGGCTATGCATCATTTAGTACATGTACGCTCTAAAAAAAAATGCTGGGTTGTTTTAACTCAATTTTGGGTCAAATATGGACAAACCCAGCCGTTGGGTTACACTTTTTAATTGCATTTTTAATCCAACGTTTGAGTTTGTCCATATTTGACCCAAAATTGAGTTAAAACAACCCAGCATTTTTTTTAGAGCGTACATGTACTAAATGATGCATAGCCTAATACATGCAAACCAAAATCTAGTAAGTACATTTACAGTAGTTTATTAATATTACTCAGTACTGACATAATAACGCTGTAACAATGACACCTTAAAATAAAGAGTAACCAAAATATTTCTACAGCATTTATTCATCTTATAGTTCAAATCCAGCGTCTTACAAATAAAGGTTTCAAAAGGGTTTTTGCAGCGATGCAATAGAATCATTTTTTGCTCTTCAAATAATCTTAAAAGAACATATAGTTCTATATCTATATTAGAGCTATATATAGTTCTAATTCTATAGTGTGAGGAATATTTTAAAGAACCTTTAGGATGTTAAAGGTTTATGAACCATCGATGCTAAAAGAAAGAAAGAAAAATTCTTAATATTACTCATTACTGAAATATATAATTACACTGTAACAATGACACATTAAAATAAAGAGTAACCAAAATATTTCTAAAGCATTTATTCATCTTATAGTTCAAATGCAGCGTTTTATAATAAAGGTTCCAACAGGGTTTTTTTGCAGTGATGCAATAGAATCATTAAAGAATAATTTATTCTATAGTGTGAGGAATATTTTAAAGAACCTTTAGGATGTTAAAGGTTCTTCAAGGAACCATCAATGCTGATAAAGAACCTTTATTTTTAAGAATGTAACATCATTAAAATCTAAATTTGATATCTGTCAATATCCTTTAATAGACTAAACGGGAACATTAATACTGTAACAAATGTAATGCTCTTTCATTTCTATTTATTTATTTTATTGCAGGAATGCATACAGAAATTTTTACAAAATACACATATCGACAAAAAACAAAACAGATAAAAACAATATAAGACTAGATGAAGAAAAAAAGGTAAAGAAAGTAAAGAAAGACCTTATAATGGACCTTATGGGGTGTCTTCAGTAATTTAACATCTTTCATCTTTTCTCTCGTCCCCACAAATAATCTTTCATGGTATCGACACTCTTCCTCAGGTTTGGTTCCAGAACCGACGGATCAAGTTCCGTAAACAGGAACTATATTATATATATATATCACTCTAAAAACTGCTGGGTTGTTTCAACCCAACTTTGGGTCAAATATGGACAAACCCAGCCGTTGGGTTACATTTTTAAATGAAAGTTTTTAACCCAGCGTTTGGGTTTATCCATATTTGACTCAAAATTGGGTTGAAACAACCCAGCATTTTTAGAGTGTATATATATAAATTAAATAAATGAATACCTTTTTTTACAATAAAAGTGAACCTTCACTGGACTGTGACTGTGTGTTCCTCTAGATCTGCTGTACTGTAGACACACACTCTGTACTCTAATTAAATGTGACTTGACTTAAAGATGAACATTAATACTATATTTTTAGTGTGTAACATAATTCAAATCAAACAATTGTGTCCGATAATATCATTTAATAGACAAAAAAGTGAACATTAATGCTGTAGGAAATGTGATTCTGAATGATACCGTGGCTCTTCCTCAGGTTTGGTTCCAGAACCGGCGGGCCAAGTTTCGTAAACAGGAACGCGCCGCCAACTCTAAAGGAGCGAGCGGCACCAAGAAGCCCGGAGAGACTCGCTCTTCGTCTGAGGATGACGAGTCCAAAGAGTCGACGTGCAGCCCGACCCCCGACAGCACCGCGTCTCTCCCCGGGTCCGGGAACATGGGGAGTCCCGGCACCGGCAGCCTCAGTCCGAGCCCCGTCTCCGGCTCCGTCTCCGGCTCCGGCTTCACCAGCGCCTCCATCTCGCCCTCGCTCCACCAGGGCCTGAAGAGCTCGCCGTGGCCCAGCCTCGGCTCAGCCGGACCCACGCCGGACCTGCTGAAGGCCTGGCAGCCCGCGGACAGTGTGGCGTCCGGGCCGTTCGCCGGCGTCCTGTCCACCTTCCACCGGAAACCCAACACAATCAAGACCAACCTCTTCTAGAGATACCGGTGCATCTCAGTCTCGCCTGGGTCACTCGTGTAGAACTGGACTCGCTGTTCAACCCGTCAGTAAGGTCTCATGTGCTGGCTCTAGTTAACACTGAACTCATCCCACTCTGAAAAATTCTGGGTTGTTTCAACCCAAGTTTGGGTCAAATATGGACAAACCCAGCCGTTGGGTTACATTTTTAAATGGCATTTTTAATCCAACGTTTGGGTTTGTCCATGTTTGACCGAAAATTGGGTTGAAACAACCCAGCATTTTTTAGTGTACCCTGGACTAAATAAGCATGTGTTAGTACGACATACTGAGAACATACGAGGGGATCATTTTATCGGTTTACTTTTAACTCATTTTAAATTTGAATTAAATTGTAAGAATTAAGCAGCTCATAAAGATACTTTATCACTAGGAAAAAAAAGAAGTATTATGTCAAGTCACCTTTAATATAGTCAACATTTATACAGCGCTTTTAACAGTACAGATTGTTTCACAGCAGCTTTACAGTGATAACAGGAGATTGTTTTGGCTTTATGACCGCTCTAGAATAAAGTTATTGTCCAGATAAAGTTAGTTTTGATTGAGTACAACATACTGAGGAGAAAAGGTTCTGGTAACACTTTATTTTACAGTGTCCTTGTTACATATGTTACAGTAATAACAGTAAATTATGCATAATTCATGCAACTAACCCAAACCCTAACCCTATAGTAAGTGCAGGTTCATCAATATTACTCAGTACTTAAATATATAATTACACTGGAACAATGACACCTTCAAATAAAGTGTAATCAAGGTTCTAAATGGAACCTTAAAGGGGATCATTTTATAGATTTAGTTCTAATTAATTAATTTAGTTTGAATTTTAATTAAATTCTATGAACTCAGCAGCTCATTCACTCTAAACAATCCTGGGTTGTTTTAACCCAAAATTGGGTAAAATATGGACAAACCCAAATTGGGTTAAAAATGTAATTTAAAATTTTAACCCAACTTCAACTTTCACATTCAACTGTACATTTTTTAATTACATTTTTTAACCCAACATTTGGGTTTGTCCATATTTGACCCAAATTTGGGTTGAAATAACCCAGCATTTTTTTAGAGTGTTTATCACTAGTTTTATGCAATCATTTAAAACTTTTGTGTTTTCTGTTTAGTTTTATAAGGCATGCTCTTTATTAACTCATCAGAACGTAACACGTTACAGTAAGGTTCATTAGTTAATATATTAACTAACATGAATAACAATGAGCAATACATGTTACAGTGTGTATTAATATTTGTTAATGTTAGTTAATAATAATCCAGCTGTTCATTGTTTGTTCATGTTAGTTCATTAACTAATAATGTTTACAAATACAACCTTTGATTTTAACAACGTATTAGTAAATGTTGAAATTAATATGAACTAAGATTAATAAATGCTGTAGAAGTATTGTTCATTCTTAGTTCATGTTAACTAATGAACCTTATTGTAAAGTGTTCCCATTAGAATTTACAGGGAGTTTTAACAGTTCTACGGTATTTAATAATCATAGTTAATGTTGATGTCAATTACTAATACATTTTTAACATTAAAAGTTGTATTTGTTCAAATAAAGGGAAAAGCTTGTTCAATAGGTAACAAACTTTTCCGTTCCACAAATTAAAGTAGTTTTGGTTCTTCTATGACATCACTTTTGGATTAAAAGTGTAGCTTTTAAACTAACATCATCAAACAATGCGCAACTGTGATTTTCATAAACTAACATTAAGAACGGTTCATAAATGCTTTAATAATATATTTCACATTATTAGGTCATGTTAAGTGTTGCAGTAACTAAAGTCAACAAATGAGACCTTATTGTAGTGTTTAACTTATTGTCATGTTGAACTCATGGGCGCTTCTGTTGTGTGTGTGTGTGTGTGTGAGGGAGTGTGTGTTTGTTCTACGGTCCATCTTGTGTTCATCTCTTGCAGCTGCGATGTTTTTCTCTTTATGTTCACAAGAGGATCTTTAACCCTGAAGATCTGCATCATCAGCGCTGGAATGAATTGCCATTGTCAGTAAATTAGTTCCTCATTTCCTCTTAATTGAAGGTCCAGAAACATTTAGTCCAGCAGGAGCTTCAGAACAAGAAATCAATTCTGAAAACATGCGTCCGTGACCCGGCACAGAAACGTCTTTCCTCTCACTGATGCATTTATCATGTGGTTCTTCACTGAAGCTCTTTGAAGACAACAGTGTGTGTGTGTGTGTGTGACCCCAGAAACAAGCATAGTTAAGCCACTTGTAGTTAATTTATTGAAGAAAAAAAAAAAAAAAAAAATGTTGGGACTTTTTTTATGCTAGGCTTTTATTGAGAAATATTTTGTAAATATTAATATAAATATGATGTAGTTTCTTCTTTTTTTAATGTTTACTGGCTCCAGTGCACGCCATGTGTTTCATGAATGATATGCTGTATATAATCCATAAAAATGACAAAATAAAGACAGTTAAAATGAACATCTCCAGTCTGATTGAGTTCACACGCAGGGAAGCACGGAATATTACCGAATATTATAATGAGGAAATATTTTACAATTTGTGTTTTGAAAAGACAAGAACTTACAAATGTCTTCATATCGTTACAAAAAAATCAACGCAAGTGTCATTTGCACAAAAGACGCACACTGTTTGAAATTTTGTTTAAAATGCTTGATTTAAATTCTGAAATATTATTCTTATATTTGTGAATAAAAGCCTAAATTCAATCTGTTCATCATATAAAGTGATGACTTTTTCAGATTTATCAATGATGTAATGTTGAATTTGTTAGACAATAGCATGTCATTTTATTCTCAATGAAATGAACTTCTAGACATCCACACACTTTGATTGATTACATTAAGCATTGCAAACATTTTTTATATCTCAAGTTTTCTGAAGTGTTGTTTAAAAACATATGAGGCATTACCTAAATAAATAGGCACTAATTTGCTAGATTTCTAGAACAAAAATCTGAACATTTGATAAAGCCAGGTTAAAAATTCTTGTTTTTACAGAGGGATATCTCTTTTTATGATTCCATAAAGCAGAAAATTATTGTTAAAATGTTGTATATAAAATCAGGCAAATTATATATGAACAAACCCCTCAGTAAAATCCTTCAGAATATAGATATGAATAAAACTCTAAGTTTTGGTGTGTATAAGTGGTGCTGAAGTGGAGGACAAAACTCATTTTTGAGAACATGGCTTTTAAAGATATGTACTGAAATTGTAATCTACAGACGCTAATAGATGGCGTTATTAAAATATACACTTAAAAGTTCTATTATGGGATGTTTTCTTTCCATTAGACTGATAAAACACTTAATGAAAAGCCAAAAAGGACTTCAACAACAACATCCGAGACGCTATTAGGATTTATATAAAGAAATTTTTTTCCTTACGATTTCTGTTAATGCAGACCCAGTTGATTAAAAGAGATTGAGAAAAATCCTGCATTTCACACACTTGATCTGATGAAATATTGCTGACTATATACTAATATTACTAAATATTATATATGAAAATGGCTGTTTATTTTAGTTATTTTTACACAAAAAAATCACTTTTTTCAATTTTCCTGGTTTGTAATGTATTGAATGATAATCTATAAACCATGGTTTATAGATTATAAATTTCAGTTTATTTATGCTGATAATTAAATTTATTTACAAATTCCACAAAATGTTTACTTCAAGCTCAATCAGACACTTTCTTTTACTGGACATAATTGTAGTTTTTATTAAACTGAAAAAGAAAAGAACAAACATTAAAAGGACAGTGATTTAACAGTCAAACACAAGTATTAACTTACAACAACTGAGTTAAACTGTTAAAAAGGATTATACAGCAAATAAATGAATGAAAGGGGGAAAACTTCTTAAGTTAAAACTCAATACACAAACAATTGATATCTAGACTAATTCTGCTACATGCATTTTAGGAGAAACACCCATAATTATAACATTAAAGTCTGTTAAATAAAACAAAGCTATTGTGATGAAGAGAAAGACTAGGCTTGTGTTTCCACAGAGTGCTTCGTTTAAAAGAACGAGGTAAAACTCAAACTAAACTCATCTTGAGATTGAGAAACACACTCAACTCTTTTAGAAATTCATCAGCATTTGAATCTCACATCAGAATGAATGAGCAAGTAGAAAAAGATTCACATGTGATATATGACTTGAACTGTTTCCTCTTGAATTCTCTCAGATGATGATGATGATGATGATGGTGGTGCAGCGCCACCTGGTGAGAGGATTGTGTTATAGCCATCTTTCCCTCAAACCAAACCTCTGTGCAGGAGGAGGAGATTGTTAATGCTCCCAAATGACACACTGAACCGAGAGAAACGAACATCCCTTGCGTTGACAAACACACACAAACATACGAACACGCAAACTGCTTCAAGTCACGGCTGATTTTGGCTTATTTCCCTTTCCTTTAAAGTCACGAAACATGCACGAAAAACAAACTGTTATTAATAACTAACACTTCAGGAATGTTCTGATGTCACTTCCTCCAGACGACAGGAAGTGGAGGGCGGGGCTGTAGTGAAACATCCTTTTGACACGTCGACTTGTTTAAATAATATCACAAACTATAATGACATCAGATTAAATTAAAACCAGGTAAAATTCTAACAGTGCAAAGTTCAGTCCGGCCTGGATTGTGATTGGCTCACTTCTGCTGCTGCTGTTGTTGTTTTAGACTGGCCAATAGGATCTTCTTATGGGCGGGGTCACGAATGCCCGCCTCCTCCAGATCCTCCTCTGTGATGTCACTGCAGGAAAGACACGTGATTGGATGATGGTTTCATCTTTGTATATCAATCCAGCTCTTAATTGTAATTCTTAATAAAACTAAAACATTATGAAAATCTTAATCACAATGAACTATGATTGGCTTATTCAGAGCAGCTGAGAAACGTATCAGGTATTATGTGATATTTTACACCTGAATAATGTGACACTGATGAACTTTTATAGACATAACTAAAAGGAGGATACATTACTAATTCATAAATTGGAAAGCTGCATGACTCACCACATTTGTGAAAGGTTATGATACTTTTATGGAGCTTTTGCAATTTGCACCTTTTAATAATTTTATTAAAATATCAAATATTTTACCATTTATATTGTATTAAATTCCAATTACTTATTTCATATTATTATAGTAATAATACTGTACTACACAGTACTGTAAAATAAAAATATTTGATAATTATAATAATAACAAACTAATACAGAACAACAGTAAAATTACCATACTAATAATTATGGCTGTCTTAATTGTTTTCAAACATTATACCACAGAACTTATTTATTTTGGCGGGGAAAAAACAACGAATGATACTGACTTTAATAGACATCAAATAAAAAATACACTGTAGGAAACCTACTTAAAATAGGTTAAATTTAAAAAATTGGATACTACAACATTGAAGGTATTTTGCACCATTTACATTCTTATATTTTATAAAATTAAATAAATTAAACAAACCAATAATAATTACGATATTACATTAATAATACTAACCCTAATGTACTGTAAAATAAAAAAATATTTAATAATAATAATAATAATCATCATTTTATCTTACAAAACAACAGTACATATTACAATACCAATATTGATGGCTTTTAAACATTAAACCACACAGCTTTTATTTTGTCAGAAAACAAAATGACAGAACTTTAATAGACATTAAATTATAAATACACCTACTAAAAATAAGATAAATAACCAATAACAAAAATTGAAAACCTACATGACCACATTTGTGAAGAGTTATTACCCCTTTTGGATTTTTGCATATTTATGGCTGTCTTAATTGTTTTCAGACATTATACCACACAACTTTTATTTTGGCGGAAAACCAAATGACACTATTATTTAATGTCTATTAAATTCAAATACACCGTTGCATACAAACTTACAAAAAAATAAGAATAAATAAACAAGAACAAAAATTGGATACTACATGACCACATTTGTAAGATCCTGTGTTTATATTTCCTATGTTTTCTGGTGTATGATTTCTGTTGTGTTTCAGTAATGGCTACACACACTTGAACTTGAACAGGTTCGGGCAAAGGAAATAAGGGAGAAACAGATATCTTACCATCTTCTCTGTCATTTATGGATAAAACTTGTGTTTGAACGTTCAAGGTAACACAAGATAAAGGTTTAACAAGTGCAATATCATATGGGGCGCCGTTTGTAAAGCGGCTCACGCTGAAAATAACAGCAACGTTTTGTCACATTTAGCTTCAAACTATGTTTAAAAAACTGTTATGAATTTTTGACGGTCACTTTTTAGCACATTTACAACAATATTTGTCAACTTAGAGATATTTTAAATAGTTAAATCTAAATATTAAATGTTACACCTAAATGTTAAATGTTAAATCTAAATCTAAATGTTCAATCTAAATGTTAAATCTAAATCTAAATGTTAAATCTTAATTTTAAATCTAAATGTTAAATCTTAATGTTAAATCTAAATGTTGAATCTAAATCTAAGTCTAAATGTTAAATCTAAATATTAAATCTAAATGTTCAATCTAAATGTTAAATCTAAATCTAAATGTTAAATCTTAATTTTAAATCTAAATCTAAATGTTGAATCTAAATCTAAATGTTAAATCTTAATATTAAATCTAAATCTAAATGTTAAATCTAAATGTTAAATCTAAATCTAAATGTTAAATCTAAATCTAAGTCTAAATGTTAAATCTAAATCTAAATGTTAAATCTAAATATTAAATCTAAATCTTAAATGTTGAATCTAAATGTTAAATCTAAATCTAAATGTTAAATCTAAATGTTAAATCTAAATCTAAATGTTAAATCTAAATCTAAGTCTAAATGTTAAATCTAAGTCTAAATGTTAAATCTAAATCTAAATGTTAAATCTAAATATTAAATCTAAATCTTAAATGTTGAATCTAAATGTTAAATCTAAATCTAAATGTTAAATCTAAATGTTAAATCTAAATCTAAGTCTAAATGTTAAATCTAAATCTAAATGTTGAATCTAAATCTAAATGTTAAATCTTAATATTAAATCTAAATCTAAGTCTAAATGTTAAATCTAAATCTAAATGTTGAATCTAAATCTAAATGTTAAATCTTAATATTAAATCTAAATGTTAAATCTAAATATTAAATCTAAATCTTAAATGTTGAATCTAAATGTTAAATCTAAATCTAAATGTTAAATCTAAATGTTAAATCTAAATCTAAGTCTAAATGTTAAATCTAAATCTAAATGTTGAATCTAAATCTAAATGTTAAATCTTAATATTAAATCTAAATGTTAAATCTAAATGTTAAATCTAAATCTAAATGTTAAATCTAAATCTAAGTCTAAATGTTAAATCTAAATCTAAATGTTAAATCTAAATATTAAATCTAAATCTAAATGTTAAATCTAAATGTTTTGGGTGAAACTAAATATTTAACTAATATGCAAATTCAAAATGCCGGTAACCGGAAGTGCCAAAATAAAAGCTCGAGGAGGTCAGTGTGTGTTTATAGTGTCAAATAACAAATAAAAACCATCTCATCCGGGGAAATGGACTCTTTGACATGGATTATCGTTATAATAACTACCGGTACCTAAAATAATAAACACCTTTGGAGAAACTGTATTTGAAGAGTAGGCTACTTTGAGTTTTTAGTGTCACTTTTATGAAAGGTGCAGGACTTATGAGCTGTAGCCATAATCGCCAGCCACGAGGGGGCTCACTTTGACTGATCTGTCATGTTCGCTTGCATAAAACGTGTATTACAAACGTGTTTGTTATTTTAGGTAGGCTAGTTATTATCACGACAATCCATGTCCAAGAGTCCATTTCCCCGGATGAGATGGTTTTTATTTGTTATTTGACACTATAAACACACACTGACCTCCTCGAGCTTTTATTTTGGCACTTCCGGTTACCGGCATTTTGAATTAGCATATTAGTTAAATATTTAGTTTCACCCAAAACATTTAGATTTAACATTTAGATTTAACATTTAGATTTAACATTTAGATTCAACATTTAGATTCAACATTTAGATTCAACATTTAGATTCAACATTTAGATTCAACATTTAGATTTAATATTTAGATTTAACATTTAGATTTAGATTTAACATTTAGATTTAGATTTAACATTAAGATTTAACATTTAGATTTAGATTTAACATTTAGATTTAGATTTAACATTAAGATTTAACATTTAGATTTAGATTTAATATTTAGATTTAACATTTAGATTTAGATTTAACATTTAGATTTAGATTTAACATTTAGATTTAACATTTAGATTTAGATTTAACATTTAGATTTAACATTTAGATTTAGATTTAACATTTAGATTTAATATTTAGATTTAGATTTAATATTTAGATTTAACATTTAGATTTAGATTTAACATTTAGATTTAACATTTAGTTTTAAAATTAAGATTTAACATTTAGATTTAGATTTAACATTTAGATTGAACATTTAGATTTAGATTTAACATTTAGATTGAACATTTAGATTTAGATTGAACATTTAACATTTAGGTGTAACATTTAATATTTAGATTTAACTATTTAAAATATCTCTAAGTTGACAAATATTGTTGTAAATGTGCTAAAAAGTGACTGTCAAAAATTAATACCAGTTTTAAACATTGTTTGAAGCTAAATGTGACAAAACGTTGCTGCCGCTTTACAAACGGCGCCCCATAGAGTACGGATGTATTTGTGACTGACGTCTGTGACGAGTAAGAACACATTTGTCCTGCCACTATAATACAGTTAACATAGGACTTCACTTGTATTACAATGATATTTAATGGTGCTTCTGGATTTTTGCAATTTGCACTTTTTTGAAGCTTACAAACTGATGAGTGATGAAAGACATGTGTGACGTCAGCCGAGTTTCTCTCTGGTCAGTCGGTCATAGAAGTTTGGTACATATAACTTTATTTTCCTTCAAAGTCAAACATATCTCTTTAGAAATGTGTTTGAGACTCTTTTATCTCATGTTGGAGTGATAAAGATAATAATTGGGTTTTGTGTGTTGTATACGCATGTCACATGTATATGGAATTTGCTGTATTTCTTTTCTTTCTGAACATTGGTTTTGATTATTTTTACATGTATGATTTTCAACAGTTTTTGTGACCGGATGAATAATTCACGTCTGTTTGGAGTTTTCTCGTGTATCTCCAGTAAACGCTGCATGAGTGAACTAGCACACTGCAGAAATGCTTTTCTTAATCAGTATTTCTGTCTTGTTTTCAGTCCAAATATTCTTAAATCAAGAAGCATTTACTAGACGAGTAAAATGACAAAATAATTAAGTCTTGTTTTCTGGGGAAATGAATCGAAATGAAGTGAGTTGATGCTTAAAACAAGCAAAATGATCTGCTAATGGGGTCAGAAAAATAATCTAGTTTCTGTTTGAATTAAGATAATATTTTTCTGACCCCATTGGCAGATCATTTTGCTTGTTTTAAGCATCAACTCACTTCATTTCGATTAATTTCCCCAGAAAACAAGACTTAATATCTTATGTCATTTTACTACTTTAGTAAATGTGAGAAATGTTTGATATTTGGACTGGAAACAAGACAGAAATACTGAGTAAAGCAGTGCATAATGTCTTTGTGTGGTCCTTTCTGGGAGAATCGAATGAACGAATCAGTGGGGTTACACACACACACACACACACACACACACACACACACACACACACACACACACTGGGCCTGGCTTTTTCTAATACTCAGAGGGTATTCCCAAGTATGAGCCGTAGCGTGACTGACAGAGAGGGAACTATGCTTTACGCTGTGTGTGTGTGTGTGTGTGTGTGTGTGTGTGTGTGTGTCAGAGACTCGTACCTGAGGAACTCCAGATCGTCCCAGCCGTTGTGCAGAAGCCCTTCCTCATAATGCTGGAGCCCGAGCTTCTGGAGCCACTCGCCAACACTGTCCTCTACTGACACACTGCTGCTCTCGTCATGCCACAGGCCCTGCACACACACACACACACACACGCATGAAAAACGATACTATGGAAGTCAATGGGGTCCAATCCACTGTCTGGTTACCGACATTCTTCAAAATATCTTCTTTTGTGTTCAACGGAAGAAAGAAACTCATACTCTAACGGTGAGTAAATGATGACACAATTTACATTTTGAAGTGAACTAATCCCTTAAGATCCGTCTCATTTTAAAGACCCGTGGCAGATTATTGTTGAAGCAAAAAAAAAAAAAAAAGAGAAACCAAAAAAAAAAAAGAAAAAAAAAAAAGACAAATTTCCCATTAGATCCAGCAAAACTCAGCGGGACACAGCGGCTGGGTTTAGGGATTTGCAGTTTCTCAAATATTACAAGCACAAACACACACACATTTATTTTTATTACACACATTCAAAGCACACTCTGTGTGTGTGTGTGTGTGTGTCTCACCTCCTCCGGCAGGTCTTCAGCGATGCTCTCCTCCTGTATGGATCGCGGTGGGAAGGTCAAGCCTCTCATGTGAGAAGACGCCGCCCCTTTCCCGACTCCGCCCCTTTCTCTCCCGGACGGATACTCCACTTCGCTCAGCGTCTTCGCCATTTGCAGAACGGAACACGACTGGTCATCCAGTGCGGAAGCTCCGCCTCCTCGCCGGAAAGGGGCGGAGCTTGGGTTCAACATGGGCGGAGCCTCCAGACAGAAGGCCACGCCTCCTCCTCCAGAGGGAGACGACAGCGGTTTGGAGGGGATCTTGACGTCGGCGAGGTCCGGAAACATTCGCGGTTTTCCGAATGAGTTTTCAGGGATTTCTTTGGGAAGCGGAGGAGGAGGGAAATCTGGCGGAGGGCGATTGAGTGACGTGACGTGAGTCCCGACGTTCCCGTCGTCTTCCGAAGATCCCTCTTCGCTGATTGGCCGAACCGGGTGCCAGCGGCCCGGAGCCGAACTCCCACTGGGAGGCTTGTTCTTCCCCACAGGAGCTGCTGTTTTATTGGCTAGCGGAGGGAGGGCGGAGCCTGGGAGCAGGTCGGAGGCCAGGACTGCTGATTGGTTGGGAACGCCCTCGAGAATGTAGTAGGCGGGGTTATTGAAGCTGTTCTTGCAGGTTGTGGCGTCGCTATCAAACGGGTCCTGTTTCAGTCTGATTAACCAACAACAGTCAGGGTTATTATCGGTGAGTAAAACGCTTGAGGGTGTGTGTGAATGTGTGAGAGAGATTGTGTGTGTGTGTGAGTGAGTGAGTGAGAGAGTGAGTGAGTGAGTGTGTGTGTTAGTGTATGTGTGTGTGTGTGTGTGTGTGAGAGAGTGTGTGTGTGTGTTAGTGTCTGTGTGTGAGTGAGAGAGTGAGTGAGTGCGTGTGTGTGTGTTTGTGTGAGGGAGTGTGTGAGTTTGTGAAAGAGTGAGTGCTTGTGCGTGTGTGTGAGTGTGTGTGAGTGAGAGAGTGAGTGAGTGTGTGTGTGTATCCACCTGTTCTGTGCGCTGTCCTCTTTAGAGGAGTGTGTGTGTGTGTGTCTCCCTGTGATGCTCTTGTCTCCCTCCTCTGAAACCTTCCCGAGGTCAGCTGACCCCAACTTCCTGCTGGTGGACGGTCTACAGGACCAGAATGAAACACTCACTTCACTGGGCCGCTTGCAGAAACAATAATCATGTTAAGAAATTAATGTTTCAACATGAACTTACTTGACGTAATCGTGTGTGGCTCTGGGAGGAAGAGTTCTGCCTCTCGATCCGCCAGTCTCGTCCTTATCAACACTGATCCACTCTGAAGACCAGAGAGAGAGAGAGAGAGAGAGAGAGAGAGAGAGAGAGAGAGAGAGAGAGAGGGATAGAAAGAGAGAGTGAGAGAGAGATGATCACACACTCACTCTTTCTCACTCACTCTTTCTCACTCACACTTTCTCACTCACACACTCACTCTTTCTCACACACACACACTCTTTCTCACTCACACACAGACACTAACACACACACACACTCTCTCACACACACACACACACACACATACACTAACACACACACTCACTCACTCACTCACTCTCTCACTCACTCACACAATCTCTCTCACACACTCTTTCTCACTCACACACTCACTCTTTCTCACTCACACACTCACTCTTTCTCACTCACACACACTCTTTCTCACTCACTCTTTCTCACTCTTTCTCACTCACTCTTTCTCACTCACACACTCACTCTTTCTCACTCACACACTCACTCTTTCTCACTCACACACACTCTTTCTCACTCACTCTTTCTCACTCACACACACTCTTTCTCACTCACACACAGACACTAACACACACACACACTCTCTCACACACACACACACACACACATACACTAACACACACACTCACTCACTCACTCACTCTCTCACTCACTCACACAATCTCTCTCACACACTCTTTCTCACTCACACACTCACTCTTTCTCACTCACACACTCACTCTTTCTCACTCACACACACTCTTTCTCACTCACTCTTTCTCACTCTTTCTCACTCACTCTTTCTCACTCACACACTCACTCTTTCTCACTCACACACTCACTCTTTCTCACTCACACACACTCTTTCTCACTCACTCTTTCTCACTCACACACTCACTCTTTCTCACTCACACACTCACTCTTTCTCACTCACTCTTTCTCACTCACACACTCACTCTTTCTCACTCACACACTCACTCTTTCTCACTCACTCTTTCTCACTCACACTCACTCTTTCTCACACACTCACACACTCACTCTTTCTCACTCACTCTTTCTCACTCACACTCACTCTTTCTCACACACTCACACACTCACTCTTTCTCACTCACTCTTTCTCACTCACACACTCACTCTTTCTCACTCACACACACTCTTTCTCACTCACTCTTTCTCACTCTTTCTCACTCACTCTTTCTCACTCACACACTCACTCTTTCTCACTCACACACTCACTCTTTCTCACTCACACTCACTCTTTCTCACACACTCACACACTCACTCTTTCTCACTCACTCTTTCTCACTCACACTCACTCTTTCTCACACACTCACACACTCACTCTTTCACACTCACTCTTTCTCACTCACACTCACTCTTTCTCACACACTCACACACTCACTCTTTCTCACTCACTCACTCACTCTTTCTCACACACACTCACTCTTTCTCACTCACACACTCACTCTTTCTCACACACACACACTCTTTCTCACACACACACACTCTTTCTCACTCACACTCACTCTTTCTCACTCACACACTCACTCTTTCTCACTCACACTCACTCTTTCTCACTCACACTCACTCTTTCTCACTCACACACTCACTCTTTCTCACTCACACTCACTCTTTCTCACTCACACACTCACTCTCTCATTCACACACTCACTCACTCACTCACACTCACTCTTTCTCACTCACACTCACTCTTTCTCACTCACACTCACTCTTTCTCACTCACACTCACTCTTTCTCACTCACACTCACTCTTTCTCACTCACACACTCACTCTTTCTCACTCACACTCACTCTTTCTCACTCACACTCACTCTTTCTCACTCACACACTCACTCTTTCTCACTCACACTCACTCTTTCTCACTCACACACTCACTCTTTCTCACTCACTCACTCATTCTTTCTCACTCACACACACTCTTTCTCACTCACACACTCACACACTCACTCTTTCTCACTCACACTCACTCTTTCTCACTCACACACTCACACACACACTCACTCTTTCTCACTCACACACTCTTTCTCACTCACACACTCACTCTTTCTCACTCACTCACTCTTTCTCACTCTTTCTCACTCACACTCACTCTTTCTCACTCACACACACACACACACACACACACACACACACACACACACACACACACACACACACACACACTCTCAGTACCGTAGAGTCTCTCTCTGGTCCCCATCCTCTCTGACGGGACTCTGACTCTCATGGATCCGCGGATGTTTCCCGTTTCCTCGCCGCGGTGAGAGAGATACGTGTGAAACTGCTGCGCCGTGCTGCCAATCATCGACTTCAGCGCCAACACACACTCCCCTGCACACACACACATTAGAAATGCATGCAAAACAGAGAGAAATGTCTTGGTTTTTTTTTTGGTCCAAAAAACCTTGACTAACACAAGTGATTTAATTTAATTTAAGAGCAATTTAATTTAATAGATTTATTTTTCTTGCAGTTTTATATTAATAATGTTTTTGAAAATATATATATTTCATATAAAATTGAAAATAGTATTTTTTCACATTTTTCACAACAATAAACGTAAAATTCTGTAACTTTTTTTTTAAGTTAACTTTTTGAAACGGTTTTCGCTTCTGCAATAATCGGCCCAGTGTCGTGTTTGGAAAGAGATCAAACCTCAGTCTGTCGCTCTGAAGCGTTGAAGATTGCCACAGTTACAGCTCAACTTTAGCTGGAATTAATATTATTCAAAAATCGCTATAAAGCCAAAACAATCTCTGTTACCGTAAATTGTAAAGCTGCTTTGAAACAATCTCCATTGTTAAAAGCACTATATAAATGAAGATGACTTGACTTGACTACGCTCAAAAAGTGAATACATGGATTATAAATACAGCGCAAATATAATTTTAGTACCATTAAATCCACTAAAAATACAAAATATTTAATAAAAACCATTATCGAACTTAAATAAAAACATAAAATTCGATCATTTTTGACCGACACGTGAAGAGCACCTGACGTGATTCAATTCAATTCACATTTATATGAATAGCGCTTTTCACAATGCACATCGTTTCAAAGCAGCTTTACAGAAAGTGCATGAGTGCAGCAGATGTGATGTCACACACACACACACACACACCGTACGACTCGTATCCATCCAGAGACTTGACGGTGAGCAGCAGGTGCTGGTCCTGCAGGTACTCGATGTCGGATAAGATGGGCTTCAGTGTCGTCAGCTGTTTGGACGACCAGCCCACGCGCAGGAAGTTCACGTTATCACTGCTCTGAGTGTCATTCTCATAGCTCTTCTTAAACTCTGAACACACACACACACACACACACACATCACTTAACTAGGACACGTTTATGCATTAGTAAACACAGTCAATAATGTGGTAGACTAACATTTTCCCCCCAGAAGTCTAGTTAAAATGCACGTTTTCTGAAAGAATATTTCATTCTTTATGCAACAATAAAATATGCAATTATTGATGTGTATTACTATGCAATATTTAATTATTTTATATTTTTAATATATTTAGAATGACTTTTATCAACATTTTTCAGTGATGAATTTAATAAACCATTTAATTATATTAATTTGTATGCACCAATATAACAATGCATAGTAATAAACAGCAATATTTGCATATTTAATGCAATATTTATTTGCATATTTTTATGTAAACATTTTAATATATTTAAACGACATTTTTAAGTGACAATTTATTTAAAAATAAATACGAATATTTAATTATATTAATGTAATAATGCATGTTAATAAAATTGCATATTTAATTAGATATTTCTACTAAAACATTTTATAATTTTTAATGACTTATCAACATTTTTCAATAATGAGATGAATAAATAATATTTAAATATTAATTTATATGCACTAATATAACAATACTTCAAAACTTGCATATTTATTGCAACAGTTAATTGCATATTTTTTGTAAAACATTTTAATATTTTTAAAATGACGTTAACATTTTTCAATGATTTTTCAGAACAAATCAGTGAATCCATTTGAATCAATTCATCAAAACTGATTCACAGAAACTATTATTACATATTTGTTAAGTACAATTATTATTCGCATTTACTTTATTTACATATATAGTATATTTACTATATATATATATATATATATATATATATATATATATATATATAAATAATATAATTCTTTATTATACTATGTATAATAATTATTACTATAATTACATGAATTAATGATGTTATATACACATTTTTGATGAAATCCCTGTGAAAGTGTCATGAATATTTGCTCGATCCGATCTCAGATTGTCCGTGATGATGATGATGATGATTGTTGTATGAATCATAACTCTGATTATGATCTGGTATGAGCTCCTCACCCTCCAGACACGTGGAGTAAAACTCGATGAAGAACTTGGTTCTGCTGGCGGTCTTCACGATGGCCTCGATGTTCTCGAACTCGATGTACGCTTGTTCTGAAGACTTGGGCAGACCTGAGGAGGAAGAGCATCTCAGAGCGCAGAACCACAGCGAACACACTGATCACACACACACACTGATCACACACACACACTGATCACACACACACACTGATCACACACACACACACTGATCACACACACACACTGATCACACACACACACACCTTTCTTAGAGACGAGCGAACACACTGATCACACACACACACTGATCACACACACACACACTGATCACACACACACACTGATCACACACACACACCTTTCTTAGAGACGAGAGAACACACTGATCACACACACACACTGATCACACACCTTTCTTAGAGACGAGAGAACACACTGATCACACACACACACACACCTTTCTTAGAGACGAGAGAACACACACACACTGATCACACACACACACACCTTTCTTAGAGACGAGCGAACACACTGATCACACACACACACACTGATCACACACACACACTGATCACACACACACACACACACACCTTTCTTAGAGACGAGCGAACACACTGATCACACTCACACACACACCTTTAGAGACGAGCAAACACACTGATCACACACACACACACCGCACCTTTCTTAGAGACGAGAGAACACACTGATCACACTCACACACACACACACACACACACACACACCTTTAGAGACGAGCGAACACACTGATCACACACACACACACCGCACCTTTCTTAGAGACGAGAGAACACACTGATCACACACACACACCTTTCTTAGAGACGAGCGAACACAATGATCACACTCACACACACACACACACACACACACACCTTTAGAGACGAGCGAACACACTGATCACACACACACACACACCGCACCTTTCTTAGAGACGAGAGAACACACTGATCACACACACACACACACACACACCTTTCTTAGAGACGAGCGAACACACTGATCACACACACACACACACACCGCACCTTTCTTAGAGACGAGAGAACACACTGATCACACACACCTTTCTTAGAGACAAACGAACACACAGATCACACACACACACTGATCAAACACACACACACAGCTTTCTTAGAGACAAACGAACACACTGATCACACACACACCTTTCTTAGAGACGAGCGAACACACTGATCACACACACACACACACCTTACCTTTCTTAGAGACGAACTGAGACGTCACGCCAACCTCGAACGTGCCGAACACAGGAGAGTGATCACTGGTGACGATATCATCTGTACAGCCTGACACACACACACAGCATCCACACACACACACACACACACACACAGCATCCACACACACACACACACACACACACACCCCACACACAAAACACCACACCACATCCACACACACACACACACACACACACACACACACACACACACACACACACACACACACACACAGACACACCCCACACACAAAACACCACACCACATCCACACACACACACACACACACACACACACACACAACCACACCACATCCCCCCCCCACACACACACACACACACCCCAGACACACACCACATCCACCCACACACACACACACACCCCAGACACACACCACATCCACCCACACACACACACACACACACACACACACACACACAACCACACCACATCCCCCCCCCCACACACACACGCACCACATCCACACACACACACACACCCCAGACACACACCACATCCACCCACACACACACACACACACACACACACACACACACACACACACACACAACCACACCACATCCCCCCCCCCACACACACACACATCACATCCACACACACACACACACCCCAGACACACACCACATCCACACACACACACACAACACCACATCCACACACACACACCACACCACATCCACACACACACACACACACACACATTTACATATTCATCTGATGCAAATCAGCCTCAATAACCGCCACAACTGCACTGGATTGCATTGCTCACTGTTATCATCAGGTTATGGTCTCATATTCTGAGACTGAATGTGCATTTGCTATGAAATGGTTTTTATTTCTTCATGCTGATCCACCAAGGACATAATGCAAAAGAGAAAAAATCTAGCAAAAATAAAATGTAAAGTGCTTATTAATAATGAAATTTATTTGATGATTTATATATCAATATTATGATTTATATTGACTTATATAATGAAAGATATTTCTACTAAAATATTTGTATATATTTAGAATGATTTCTGTCCACATTTTTCAGTGATAATGTGAAACTAGTGAGGATTTTTCTACTTAATGGAAAACTAAAATACAAGCGTGTTATAATAACATAAGTAATGATGATGTATAAAATATAAATATAAATGATATATAGTGATATAAACTAATTTTACACTCATGGTCCAAAATAAAAATAATTATGTTTTTTTTATGATTTTTTTTAATGATTTTTATGATTTTTTTAATGTTTCTGAAAGAGTCTCTTCTTCTCACCAAGGCTGTTTATTTAATCAAAAATACTGTAAAAATGATGAAATATTATTGTAATGTAAATCAGCTGTTTTCTATGTGAATATACAGTAAAGTGTAATTTATTCCTGTGATCAAAGCTGTATTTCCAGCATCATTACTCCAGTCTTCAGTGTCACATGATCCTTCAGAAATCACTCTAATATGATGATCTGATGCTCAAACAGTTATGATTATTATCAGTGTTGAAAACAGTCGTGCTGCTTCATATTTCAGGGGAAACTCATATTTTTGATGGTAAGAAGGATTTTAAATAAACACTCTTATGGGTAGTGTATGAGGGAACGGCGTACCGTACGAGTTGCAGACGATGTGCGTCTCAGGATATGATTTCCAGAGGATTCTGTCGCACCACGAGGGAACGTTGGTCCGCATCTAAGAGACGAGAGAGAAGGAAAGCAGGACGCTTCACTTCCTGTGGCAAAGGTCAGGTGACAGGAAGTCGCCGCCTCAGGACCGTAAACATGTTAGCAGGGATTCTCTCTTTACGCTCGTGAATGTGAGCTTCTTTATAGGGATAGTTCACCCGAAAATGAACATTAGCCCATGATTTACTGACCCTCAAGTAATCCTAGGTGTGTATGACTTTCTTCTGTCAGACGAACACAATCAGAGTTATATTAGAAAATATCCTGACTCTAACAAGCTTTATAATGGCAGTTTCTGTTTTGAAGTCCATAAAAGTGCCATCAGAAGGCCTTTATTAACCCCTGGAGCCGTTTGGATTTCGTTTATGATGAAAAGATGCACTTTTATGACGGACAGATGCACTTTTATCATAGATAGATGCACTTTTATGATGGATAGATGCACTTTTATGATGGATAGATGCACTTTTATCATAGATAGATGCACTTTTATGATGGATAGATGCACTTTTATGATGGATAGATGCACTTTTATGATGGATAGATGCACTTTTATGATGGATAGATGCACTTTTATGACGGACAGATGCACTTTTATCATAGATAGATGCACTTTTATGATGGATAGATGAACTTTTATGATGGATAGATGCACTTTTATGATGGATAGATGCACTTTTATGATGGATAGATGCACTTTTATCATAGATAGATGCACTTTTATGATGGATAGATGCACTTTTATGATGGATAGATGCACTTTTATCATAGATAGATGCACTTTTATGATGGACAGATGCACTTTTATGATGGATAGATGCACTTTTATGATGGATAGATGCACTTTTATGATGGATAGATGCACTTTTATGATGGATAGATGCACTTTTATCATAGATAGATGCACTTTTATGATGGACAGATGCACTTTTATGATGGATAGATGCACTTTTATGATGGATAGATGCACTTTTATGATGGATAGATGCACTTTTATGATGGATAGATGCACTTTTATCATGGATAGATGCACTTTTATGATGGACAGATGCACTTTTATGATGGATAGATGCACTTTTATGATGGATAGATGCACTTTTATGATGGACAGATGCACTTTTATGATGGATAGATGCACTTTTATGATGGACAGATGCACTTTTATGATGGATAGATGCACTTTTATCATGGACAGATGCACTTTTATGATGGACAGATGCACTTTTATGATGGACAGATGCACTTTTATGATGGATAGATGCACTTTTATCATGGACAGATGCACTTTTATGATGGATAGATGCACTTTTATGATGGACAGATGCACTTTTATGATGGATAGATGCACTTTTATCATGGACAGATGCACTTTTATGATGGATAGATGCACTTTTATGATGGATAGATGCACTTTTATGATGTATAGATGCACTTTTATGATGGATAGATCCACTTTTATGATGGACAGATGCACTTTTATGATGGATAGATGCACTTTTATGGACTTCAAAACAGAAACAGTCATTCACTGCCATTATAAAGCTTGTTAGAGCCAGGACATTTTCTAATATAACTCTGATTGTGTTCGTCTGACAGAAGAAAGTCATACACACCTAGGATGGCTTGATGGTCAGTAAATCATGGGCTAATGTTCATTTTTGTGTGAACTATCCCTTTAAGAGTAGTGTTAGTGTGATGTGAATGATTTACCCCGGTGGCTTTCTGCTTCTGCCAGACGTACGTGTCCCGCGAGCCGCGCTCGTAACGGTACGTGGGGGGGTAGGTGATCTCCTCCTCCGCTGGACACACACACACACACACACAGGATATGATGCGGCAGGGAAAGGAAGTGTTGATGAGCCAAGA